TTGTGGGCCTGATCCCCAGTGGGTGGCATGCAGGAGGCAGCCAGTCAATGTTCTCTCTCATCTATGTTTCTATCTCCCTCTCCCTTCCTCTCTCTCTAAAATCAGTAAAGAAAACAAATTTTAAAGAAAGAATTTCACACAGCGATGAAAATGAACAAATTACTGCTACCTGCTACAACATTGGTGTATTTCATACAGTTCAGTAAGAGAGGTGAGACAGAGCCTCTGGTCACACACACTAAATCTTCGGTGACAGCAGTCAGGCTGAGGGTGCTCTCTGGGGAGGACGGGGGACAGTGATTCCGAGGGAGTACAGGCTGGGGCGACTTCTGGGTGCTGGTGTTGTACTTTGACTGTGGCTTGGGCTTGCACAGGTGTGCACATTCTGTGATGCAGATTTCCAGGGGTCTCTAGAATATCTCTTCCTGCATCTCTGATTGTCCCCAGAGAATGTTCTCCTCAGTCCCTTCTGCTTTTCATGAGCTGACAGCTGCTGCTGAAATTGGACTGCAGGAGAAATCTGGACGTCAGGCTCACTCCATGTGAGGGGTGACCCCTAACTGCTCTCCGAATGCTCGGCCCGCATCCCCTGGGGGAGGGGAGGGTGCGAGGGGTTGGAGTTATACAGGGTGGTGGATTGCAGCGGTACCGATGTGCGAGATGAGAGTCAGGTTCTCTGCCCTCCGCGCAATCCTGGTATCTGCACCCCTCACACTGGCCACCGGGGCCTGTCCGTGGGCCACAGATAAAACTGAGTGCCAGCCTGCGGGGGGCTGCAACCCCCAACCACTGCGACCCCACCCTCCCTTTCCCTGCAGCCTGCGTTAAACAAACAATGGTGGCGAGATAGTGCCCGGGGGACCCATTAGTACCCGTTGACGGAGCCCCTGGCCTGGCACTGAGCTCTCATGGACTCTCATCGTGGCTGGAAGTGGGGAAGCAGACACTGCACAATAAATACCGAGCGGGGTGCTTCCAGGAAGTGGTGGGTGCAAGGGGGAACAGAGGACCGACCGATGGAGCCACAAGTGTGATGGGAAGAGGCCAATGTCAGCAGGTGGTCAGGTGGCCTCAGCGAGGAGGTGGCGTCCCTGGGCCACGGGGACACAGCACCGCACACAGGTGGCTTCAGTGAGGAGGTGTCGTCCCTGGGCCGCGGGGATCACAGCACCGCACACAGGTGGCTTCAGTGAGGAGGTGTTGTCCCTGGGCCGCAGGAGCCCAGCACCGCACACAGGTGGCTTCAGTGAGGAGGTGTTGTCCCTGGGCCGCAGGGACACAGCACCGCACACAGGTGGCTTCAGTGAGGAGGTGTTGTCCCTGGGCCACGGGGACACAGCACCGCACACAGGTGGCTTCAGCCAGCAGGAACTATGCTGTCAGAGTTCTGGAGGCCAGGCGTCCAAACCCCGGGTGTCGGCAGGGTGGGTCCCTTCCGGGGCTGGGAGGCGGGGTCTGTTCCGTGCCTCTGTCCAGCTTCTGGTGGCGGCCAGCATCTGCCTCTATCTCCAGTTCCCTTCTTCCTCTGTATCTGCACATGGCTCCTGGACAAGACGCCGGTGTGACCCCGCCTTACCTTGATGACATCTGCAAGGACTTCCAAACCAGGTCGCACTAGCGGGAGGAGTGAGGCTGAGCTGGGACAGGGAGACAGCAGGGAGTCGGCTTATGGGGCGGGGAGGGCCAAGGGCTCTAGAGACACAGAACCGCCGGCGGACACCTGGTCACCAGTAATCCCGAGGCTGGGCACCGAGGGAGGAGGCAGGGCAGGAGGTGGGTTCTAGGTCGAGAGTGGCCACTCAGGCATGTGGGGTGCTTGGTGCAGCATCACAGGCCTGGGATGCCAACCGTCCTGGTTTTCCTGGGGCTCGGGGGTTGCCCAGGACACACGGCTTTGGGGGCGAAAATTGGGACGGTCCCTGGCAAAGTGGGTGAGTTGGTCCCCACCTCCTCACTCACCGCCGGTTCCATCGTCAGCGGCTTATTTCCCTGTCGTCTCCAGCGAGAACGGTCAGCGCTGGCTGACAGCTCCCTCCGCCGGCCGTACAACCCGCAGGCGCAGGGCACGAGTGTGCGGGGTGTTGCTACCGTGCCAGGCGTGGTCCGTGCCCTCCACCACTGCCACGCCACCTCCCCACTGTGTCATTTCCTTACTAGCTTTTTGTGAGATGATCGTAATCAGCCCCCATGGGTAGGAGGAGCGATAGGCTCGGGAAACTGACCATTTTAACTGTCTCTCAAGTGAGCACACCTGAGGCAGCCTCGCGTGTGGTAAACTTATTCCCACGGCAACAGGAATAGACAGAAATTGTTGCCCTTGTTTTATAGAGGAGGAAGCTGAGGCGAGGAGAAGCTAATGCCCTGACCAAGGTCACAGGTGGGACAGCAGGGCTCCGGGACTCGAGTCTTGCATGTGTCTCCCTCTCGCGCACTTCTCCCGAGCAACCATGTGTCCATTTTCCCCAGGCCAACGACTCAGACTGGCCCCCTCCCTTTGCACCTGAAGCATGTTTGCCTTTCTGGTGGAGCAGAGAAAGCTGCCCTGGCCGAGACGCAGAGAATCAGGCCCTTCACCACTTCTGTTGAGGAAGGTCCCCGAAGGCTAGCAACGGGGTGACTCCGGTCTCACTGGAACCCCACTGGTTGTGCCTGAAGCGTGTCGGGAACTCCGCTGGAAGCATGGGGAGGCTGAGGCAGGAAAGACCTTTGGACGCCCTCACTGTTCAGTGGAAAATTAGGCAAGAGTCGGTGCTAACGATACCGACGTGTACAGTGTTCACAGTGGGTGAGCATCAGCAACCCTGGAAGTTTGGCTCTGTTCTTGTTTCCATCAGCGGACAGAGAAACCAAGGCTGAGAGGCTGACTCTCGTCCCTGGGCCGCCAGCTTGAGGCTGCAGGGCGCCCCCGGAGGCAGTGTGACCCTGGGCGGGGGCGGGGGTGCTCCAACCAAGCCATGACCCTCCTGGGTTAATGCCGACATCTGTCAGCCTCTGAAGGGCTGAAGAATAACCCAGCCCAGGGGTGGGTGGAAAACAGGTTTTCTTGACACTGACAAGGAGTCGTTATTTTTATTAACAGACCCTCTGTGTCTGCAGTATATTATGTTTTCAAAACATTTTTTTTATCATCACCCGAGGACATTTTTTGATATTTTGTTCAGATAGAGTGAGAGTGAGAGAGAGAGAGAGAAACATCAATGTGAAAGCGACACATCGAGTGGTTGCCACCCACACGACACAACCAGGGCTAGGGACAAACTGCAACCAAGGTACGTGCCCTTAGCAGGAACCGAACCTGGGTCTCTCCGGACCGCAGGCCGACGCTCTAACCGCTGAGCCAAACTGGCCAGGGCTGTTTTCAAAACATTTTTATAACTTTTATGCAAAATATCAGTCATAAGCTTCTAACTAGATACATTTATCTCAAAGGTTATGAGGTCCTATGTGGGTGACTTAGTCTATAAATGCTATAAAGTGAGCACGACAGAATCTGCCAAAACAAAGTTCCAGGATTCACGCAAAGAGGCCCTATGAGCTGCTGGGAAAGTTCAAATTCTAGAATCAGAGCTAATCTATTGGGCAAATTAATCTCTTTGGGCATCTCTGGATGTCACTTGATGATTTGGAAAGTTATTCAACTTCTCTGTGACTCAGTTTCCTAATATTTAAAATGGGGATAATAATAGCACATTTACTTATAACTTTCTGAACCACCACCACCATCATCACCATCATTGTAACCATATGACCATCACCACCACAATCACCATCTCTGCCTCTACTATTACCACCACCATCATCACCACCACCATCATCACTATCACCACCACCATCATCACCACCACCACCACCATTCCCATCATCATCAACACCACCACCATTACCATCATCATCACCACCATCATCATCACCACCACCACCACCATCATTACCATCATCATCACCACCATCATCACCACCACCACCATTACCATCATCACCACCACCATCATCATCACCACCACCATCACCACTACCACCATCATCACCACCACCATTACCATAATCATTACCACCATCACCACCACCACAACCACTATCACCATCACCAGTATCATCATTATCACCACCACCATCACCACGACTACCACCATCATCACCACCACCGCCATTACCACTATCATCACCACCACCATTACCATCATCACCACCACCATTACCATCATCACCACCACCATCATCATCACCACCACCATCACCACTACCACCATCATCACCACCCCCATTATCATAATCATTACCACCATCACCACCACCACAACCACTATCACCATCACCAGTATCATCATTATCACCACCACCATCACCACGACTACCACCATCATCACCACCACCGCCATTACCACTATCATCACCACCACCATTACCATCATCACCACCACCATTACCATCATCACCACCACCATCATCATCACCACCACCATCACCACTACCACCATCATCACCACCCCCATTATCATAATCATTACCACCATCACCACCACCACAACCACTATCACCATCACCAGTATCATCATTATCACCACCACCATCACCACGACTACCACCATCATCACCACCACCGCCATTACCATCATCATTATCACCACCACCATCACCACGACTACCACCATCATCACCACCACCACCATTACCATCATCATCACCACCATCATCATCACCACCACCATCATCACTATCACCACCATCATCACCATCACCACCATCACCATCACCACCACCACCATCAGCAGCACCACCAGGGTCACCATCATCAGCTTTCCTCTTCTGTGAAGTCACCTCCCAGCCATGCCAATGGATGGGATGACTGTGCCCGGGGAAGCATGGGCACTCTGTGCAGAGTGCGGGGAATGGTGCTGCGGCCGCCATGCTGTCTTTGTCCGGGTGAAACAGCGGGAGGTGCCGGGACCAGCGTCTCCCTCGAGGAGACAGCTCCCTCACAGCGCATGCTTCCTTCACAGGCATCGCCCTCAGTGCGCTCCCCATGTACCTGAGCGAGATCTCGCCCAAGGAGATCCGCGGCTCTCTGGGACAGGTGACGGCCATCTTCATCTGCATCGGGGTGTTCACCGGGCAGCTGCTGGGCCTGCCTGAGCTGCTGGGCAAGGTAAGTGTGGCTCCCCAGCCAACGTGTTTGTTCTCATCTTATGTCACCGTCTCAGCCCCTGTGTCCCTTGCAGGACAAAGGGTAGACAGACGTGAGCCCTTCCTGCAGAAGCGTGTCCCTATGCCTCAGAATTCCTGAACACGCAAGCCTTTCACTTATTATTGGAGAAAAGTTCTTGTTGAGTGCCTTTGGTTGGATTTGTTTATTTTTTAGGACATAAGGAATATATAACAAACTCTAATGTTACAGAATGTTCAAATCCTCCTACCCCACAGCTATGGTTAACAGCTCAATTACAATTCATTTAGGCTTTTGCAAACCTGGTAAACCTATATCGTTTTATAGATGGCATCATGCCATCCACGTCGTTCCGCCGTTGCTGTTTTCACTTAAGGTATTTTGGGCATCTTTCCGAGATGTTCTGCGTAGCTCTACCTCACTCTTGGGGCTCTCTTCCCTGCGTGGTAGGTAACTGCATGGTCTTCTGCTTTCTTTCTCCTTGGGAAGCGGGAGGCCTGCCTTTGAATTGCGGCCCAACAATTTACTTGCCGTGAGGCCTTGGCGAGGAGCAGCGCCTTACTTAGGTTCGAGTGGGGCAGGGTGGGATCGAGGAAGGCTTCCCGGAAGAGGGGGCCTCGAAATTGAACCCTGAAGGCTGAGCAGGGTTAGGCAGGCGATGATGGGGTTTGGAGAGAAGACACTGCAGAGAAAGGGAGTAACTGGAGAAAACAGCCCTGTGTGAGGATCGTGAACGGCTTGGGGGCCGAGGGGTGCGCGTGTGTGGGGAGCATGAGACGCGGCCCCCGCTCACTGAGCGGCAGCGGAATGGGGAGCCCCGGGCCGCACTAGCAGGGGAGTGACTCCGCCACATCTGCGTCAGAGGTGCTTTGGGTGAAAGGGAGGAGAGGGCCCAGCAGGGGGCGTGATGGGTGTGTGTGGTAAGGGGAATGGAGGGCAACTGAGGCAGCGGGCCGGGCCGGGGCTGGAGAGCCGGGGGCCTGAGTCCAGGACTTGCCTGAGTATCCGACAGGGGTGGGGAAGGGGCCCAGCTAGGATGCTTCCAGGGGTGCAGGGGCCTTCCCTTGTCCTGCGCACGAAGGCCAGCAGGGAGGGGGAGACGGAAGCAGGAGTGATGGTCAGATGTCCTGGAACAGAGCCTCTGCCGCACCCCTGCCCGCAGCTGAGTCTGGGTGGAGGCGGGCGGAGGCCCACCCGGGAAATGCACTTTAATAAAACTCCAGTGCACAGGCCCAGACTTTACGTCAAATACTCGTCTGTTACGCCGTGCAAGTCCTCACGGCCACTCCGTGAGCCTCCCGTGCCAGCAGTGCACGGAGGTGAGGCAGAGCGCTAGGACGGACAGAGGCTGGGGCGGACACCAGGACCCGAGCGTGGGGTTCGTCTTACACAGCCCGGAACCGAACGTGCTGGGTCTCTGGGACTTCGACACCGGTCCTGCAGAGTGGGTTCGTCCCCGCACCAATTCATCCCCATCTGCCTGGACATAGGACACAGGCGAGGGGCTCGGTCCCACAAGACTGTCCCCACTTCAGATGCCACTGGCAAGCCCAGGTTGTCACTGGCCTTCTGACCGACTGGCTGTGAATCAGAGGTTCCCACAACCTCCTTCTTGGGTCTGATTCATCTGCTGCGGGGCTCACGGAAGTCAGGGTACCAGGTTACAAGTCGCCAGTTTATTATAAAGTGACATAACTCAAGAGAGACACCCGGACGAGATGCACAGGACAGGGAGTGGGGGAAGGGCGCCAGGCTCCCGTGCCCTCTGCGGGTGCCAGTCTCCCAGCACCTCCGCGTGTCCCCACCCAGGAAGCTCTCCAAACCCTGTCCTTTTGGGCTTTTATGGAGCTTTTGTTACATAGGCACGGTTGGTGAAATATGACCCAGAGGTTGGTGTGGGGCTGAAATTTCCAACCCTCTAATGACCCGGTTGGTTCCCTTGACCTCCATCCTTAGGTGCTTTCCAACAGTCACCTCCTTAACTAAACTCAGGTGTGGTTGAAAGGGGTTTGTTATAAATATCAAGATACCTTTATCGCTCCTACGGCTTGGGAAATGCCCTGGGTTTTAGGAGCTCGGCACCAGAATTGGAAGACCAAATACATAGTCTTACTGTAAGTCATGGTATTGCAGTGAACCCCTGGGTGAGGGGGACCCAGGGCCCCTGTGTGCCTGAGCCCAGGGACCTAGAGCCAGCTCCTGCCTCGTTCAGGGAAGTTTTCGTAAGTCGAGGAACCAAGCATGGTGGCCGTGTGGTGACAGGAGGGGTAATGGAGCTGGTTGGCATTGATCCTTCCAAGATTTTTTGGAATGTTTTGCCAACTGTTTTCATTGTGGCAAGAGATGCATAACATTAGGTTTGCTGTTTTAACCGCTGGCGAGTATACAGTTCATAGCATTAGGTATGCCTTGATATTTCAACGGGTCACCTCAGAGGCACCTGCTGCTGACCTTTTGTTATCAACCCTTTGGGGATATTTCTTCTTCTCTTTTGCAAAAAATGAAAACAACTAAGACTTGACCTTGGAGGCCGTGACCTGCACAAGCCTCCAAGTTAACGTGAGTGTGTAGTTCACGCGAGCGTGTTAGAAATGTCTCCTTACCCAAGTGAGGTTCCAACGAGACTCTTTTGCCTTTTGTTTTTAAAGCTATTTTAAAATTCTAAAAGTAAACATGATGCGTGTGACAATAAAAACAGTATAACGATTACAGCCTCAGCTCCCTAAACATAAAAATAGTCAATGAATACACTGCCGTCCTCCAAGCGTAGAAATGAGTGTGTGTGTGTCAGCAGAGTCTGGCCCTTTTCTTTCTTGAGCCAGTTCCCAGTTGCTCATCACTCGAGTCCTCTTTCATGAACCCAGGCCAGGTGGTCTCTCCATCTGGATGCTGTCTCAGCCCCGTCGGGGTGGCTTGTAAGTGACGGAAGTTTAGTCCCCAGGATTCTGGAGACTGGGAGGCAGAGACGAGGGTGCCGGCATGGCCAGGTTCTGGTGAGGGCCCTGCCCCTGACTTACGGACAGCCACCTTGTCGCTGTGTCCGCTCAGGGGGAGACAGAGATCATCTCTCTTTTGTCTCTTCTCATAAGGTCACTGACCCCATTCCCGAGGGCCCTGCCCTCAAGACCTGATCACCTCCCAAAGGCCCTGATTCCATGACGTGGAGGGTTAGGATTCTAACATGTACGTTGGAGGGGACAAACGTTGGAGGGGACAAAAGCATTCCATCCATCCATATCCCCGGATCTCCCTGACACCTCTGTCTTCTCTCTCCGTTCACTCATCTGGCCCATCTGCTGGCCACTGAGCTGGACGTTGGAGCTGTAGCTTTGAGCGGTGAAGAAGGGACTGGATGGCCAGCCAGTGGGGAGAGGCTAGGAGCTTGGCTGAGGGCGGCAGCCGCGGGCAGGGACAGGTGGGTGAGATTGCCCAGTGAGTGATGGGACGGGGTGTCTGAGGGAGGCGGAGCCAAGGACGCCTCCTGGTGTTTGGCAGGTCACCCAGGTGGAAGGGGTTCCAGACACTAAGACAGGGAGCCCTGCTGGAGAAGCAGCTTCGCAGAGCATGGAAGATAGGGTCACGGACATGAACCGCCCAAGTGCAGAGGTTGGTGCGGGGGGGGGGGAGGTTGTCATTGCTCAGGTGGGGATGCACTGCCCCCATGGCTTATGTCCACTTTGTTCCTTTACAGAAACATTTAGTGCTCAGCTTAGAACACTTAGAAAATATAAAAAAGGAAGTAACGTCACTTGAAAGTCTTAACATTTCGGTTTCTTTCTTTCTACGTTTCTGTTGTGGGCAGTGGGGGTGGTACCGGTGGGGTCAGACTGGACCTGGGCTCAGCAACCTCGGTACTTGAGTTCTGGCTGGGAGAGGGTTCAGAGCCAAGACTCAGACTATAAGAGATTGGTTTAGAAAATCTTCTACAGAGGTAGAAGTAATTCATAGAAGAAATGGGCTTAGGAAACAGGTTATAGGGGCAAAGGAAGGGCCCTTGGAGCTTAGCAGCGGGGAAGGTAAAGGTGACTCACCTGGGGGGGGGGGGGGAGAGGCCGGGAGCAGGGAGAGCGCGGGGTCCTCCTCCTAGGGGTTCTAAGGGGAAACTTTGGGGGAGCTCCCAGGGGAAGTTCTCAGTGGAAGATTCAGCAGCTTTCCAGGTGAGTCCTTCCAGGGTCTAGGTCTCCACTGATTGATTGGTTGGTCGGCGCCAGGCAGGGGGTCATTAGCCAGTGCAGCTGGTCCTGAGGTCCGCCCTGGTGTCAGTTTTCTGGGCCTGGAGCTGAACTACAACTGAGGCCCAGATGTCTCTCTAGGGAGGAAAGGTCAGGGGTCCACACCAAAGGACAGGAGCTAGGCTAGGGGAGGAAAGGTCACCCTGGGGATGAGGTCCCACCCCACACTTGTCCTTGGCTAGGCACCTGGGGCTTTTTGCCCTGGTGATCTGTACCTGGCCCGTGTCCTTGCTCTGTTCATGTCTACCTAACTGCTCTCTGTATACCTGTTATGCAGTAGAAATAATACTGTGTTTAACTTTGTTTTTCTTTAAAAAATGTCACTTATGATCATATCAAAAGCATCTCCCCATGTCCCCAAGCTTCTCTGTACACACGTTTATGTAGCATTAGCAGCCTATTCCCTCGCACAGGTGCACAGCAACGACTGGCCATTACTGAATGCCTCTCTCTTCCCGAGTGTTGACTCGTGTGGATAACAGTAAAGCAAATACCTGGCTGTAAACGTGTAACTCCTTTCTGTTTCCTCGTTTAATTTTTATGATTGTGATGCATCCATTGTGCACCCATTGAACACAATAAGGAAGAATTCAGGAAATTAAAATTTCTGTATCTTATCATTTCTGGATATACACTAACAGTTTAAATTTTTTTCCAATTACTTTTTCTGCATATAACTTACACACACACACACACCATTTGGTTCGTTCTATTTATAAGTCTGATGATTATTTTACAACATTATATTGT